TTGCAGTAATAACACCAGGAGGCAGCTCTGATGAAAACTCACACTCACACGAGCTTTTAAATCTCTGCACAAAATTCAATTTAAACCAGCAAATAATAGAGCCTACTAGACTGGAGAATACACTAGACCTCATCTTCACTAACAATGATGATCTGATAAGAAATGTCACATATCAAAAACAATATACTCAGATCACAACATAATTGAGGTTCAGACATGTATGCGTGGAGCCCCAGACCGACAAAATGAGACTAGTCACGAGGGAGCATTCACCAAATTCAACTTCAATAACAAAAACATAAAGTGGGACCAAGTAAACCAAGTCCTAACCGATATAAGCTGGGAAGATACACTAAGCAACACAGACCCCAACTTATGCCTAGAACAGATTAACTCGGTGGCACTCGATGTATGCACAAGGCTTATTCCTCTAAGAAAAAGGAGGAGTAGATGTAAAATAGAAAGAGACAGGCGCTCCCTTTACAGGCGACGGAAAAGAATAACAGAGCGGCTAAAAGAGGTCAATATATCTGAAATGCGTAGGGAGACACTGGTCAGAGAAATAGCAAGCATCGAACTTAAGCTAAAAGAATCCTTTAGGAGTCAGGAATCGCGGGAAGAACTAAAAGCCATAAATGAAATCGAAAGAAACCCAAAGTATTTATTCTCCTATGCCAAATCAAAATCGAGAACAACGTCCAGTATTGGGCCCCTACTTAAACAAGTTGGGTCCTACACAGATGACAGCAAGGAAATGAGTGAGCTACTCAAGTCCCAATATGACTCGGTTTTTAGCAAGCCGCCTAACCAGACTGAGAGTCGAGATCAAAATGAATTTTTTATGAGAGCCACAAAATTTGATTAACACAAGCCTATCCGATGTTATCCTGACGCCAAATGACTTCGAACAGGCATAAATGACTCCCAGCACTCTCCCCCCGGGGCCAGACTCAGGGAAACTCTGTGTTCTCAAAAACTGCAAGAAGCCCTATCCGACCCTTTTTCCCCTATGGAAGGGAGCATGGCAGGGGGGTCGTCCCTCATTTACTAAAAACAACAGACATAGCCCCACTCCACAAAGGGGGAAAGTAAAAAACAGAAAAAACTACGACCATAGCACTAACATCCCATATCATAAAATCTTTGAAAGGGTCCTAAGAAGAAAGTCACCACCATCTAGAAACCCATCAGTTACACAACCCAGGGCAACAGGGTTTAAAACGGGGCGCCGTCTGTCTCAATATTGGATCACTACGAAAGGTCCAAAATGCACTAAAGACAAAAAAAATGCGATGAATATATACAGACTTTTGCAAAAGCCTTCGACAAATGTGACCATGGCGAAAAAGCGCACAAAATGCGGCTAAAGGAATAACAGGAAAAGTCGGTCGATGGGTCATAATTTCCTCATAACGAACACGACAGTATCATCAACAGAGTAAAGGAGGCAGCTACGGTGAAAAGCTCTGTTCCCCAAGGCACAGTACTAGCTCCCCTTTGTTCCCTCATCCCCTATCCCACTAGACAAAAAATTCAGCCACAGACCGTGTTTCCTTTTCAGATGCACCCCAAATTTCATGACAGTGTCTTCCATTGCGAAGCAAGGTCCAGGCGGCTCAACCAAAACTTTCAGTGGGCTGCGGGGAAAAAAAATATGAAGTTCAACGATGGAAAAATTTTAATTACCAGATATGGTAAACATGAGGAAATTAAATTTTTCAGAGACAAAAAAAAAAATTTGGCACAAAAAGAGCGAAAAACCCAATCAAAAACCTGGGAGTGATTATGTCGGAGGTTCACCTTAAGGACCTAACATGTATCAATCGCACTGCAGAAAAATGACAGGATGGAAATGAGAACTTTCAAAAAATAGGGAGGCCAACCCATGAGCACTCTTCAGGGCACTTTTTATTGCTGGAAAATTTCTGCATCTAACAGCACCTTTCAAAAGGGGAGGTGAAATTTCCGACCTAGAAAATGTACAGAGAACTTTCACGGGCGGCATAACGGAGATAAAACACCTCAATTTCTGGGAGCGCTTGAGGTTTCTAAACCCGTTTCCCTGGAACGGGAGGGGGAGAACATGATTTTAATTTTCCTGGAAAAAACTAAGGGGTAGTACCAAAATTTGCACACAAAATACTCACACGAAAGCAAGAGACTTGGCAGACGATGCCCATCCCCCCAATGAAAAGCAGGGGGTCACTAGCACTTTAAAAGACCATACAAAATGTCAGGGGCCCGAGACGTTCAACCCCCCACCCCAATAAGGGGTTACCAAAAGACCCCTGGCAGTCTTCAAGCGGGACTGGACAAGTACCTAAAGTCATCCTGATCAGCCGGCTGTGGCTCGACGTTGGTTTTCTGCAGCCACAGCAAAAGCCTGGTTAACAGGGGGGATCCACCGGAGGCCCGGTCACAGACCGGGCCGCGGGGGGGTTGGGCCCCCGAAACTCTCTCCAGGTAAACTCCCGGTAATATAGCTTCTAAACTTTTTTGGGTTTTGACACCTCTCAAAAACAGGGTTTTGTGTGAGTGAGGGGGAAAGGTTGAATGATGATACAGTATTTTCTTTTTTGGGTTTTTTTTTCTTTTTTGGTCATTTTGCCCAGTGGGAATGGGCCCATTTGTTTTAGAGAAAAAAATTATATAGTGGAAATTGTGTCGCATTATTGTGCAGAGAAATTTTGTGGTGGTGGGGTTTTGGGTTTCTAAAAGTACATTCAGAGGGCTGAGGAGGGATTATTGAGGTGGTTTGGTCATTTAGAGGACAGAACAAAATAAGATGACTTGGAGGGTGTATAAATCTGTAGTGGAGGGGAGGATGGTATGGGTCGTCCTAGGAAAGGATGGAGGAAGGAGGTAAAAGAGGTTTTGTGTGCAAGGGGCTTGGAAATGCAGCAGGCATGTGTGAGCAAGTTAGACAGGACGAGCTGTTGGAGTGTGAGCAGGGTAATATTTTGTCAAGGGATTCAGGGAAACAGGGCAGCTGGACTTGAGTCCTAGAGGTGGGAAATACAATGCCTGCACTTTAAAGGAGAGGTTTGGGATACTGGCTGTTTGGAGTGACATCTGAACTGTTGGATCTGAGTATCTCTGGAAAGACACTGAATTTTAGTGAATGATGGTGAAAGCGTTTCTTTCTTTTCTAGGTCACCCTGCCTCGGTGGGAGTTGGCCGTTATGTTGAAAAAATATATGATTTTTTAATTGCTTTTAATGTTTAATGCCATATATATACTAGTTTTTTTTATAATATTAGATGTGTTTCAAGGTGATTTAGCGTTTCAAACATTCCTTCAGTTGAAATAATTCGTATATATACGGTATGACTTTTTTTCTTTTTACTATATTGGTCTTCTAAGGCTATGTACAATTGTTTCAGTGTTATACTCCTCAAAATATGAAAACAAGTAATATTAATAGACTTTACTGGGTTATATATAATTTATAATTGTTATTTTTTTCCTATTTTGGTTTTCTAAGGCTATGTATAATGAATACTTACAATTTTTTTTTATTAACACATCGGCCATTTCCCACCAAGGCAAGGTGACCCAGAAAAGAAGAAACATTTTTGTCATCATTCAGCCAATCACTGTCTTGCTTGAGGCATGCCTACACTACTAATAAAACTGCAACTTATCAACACCCTTCTTTCAGAGTGCAGGCACTGTACTTTCCATCTCCAGCACTCAAGTCTGGCCTGCTGGTTTCCCTGAATCCCTTCATAAATGTTACCTTACTCATACTCATACTTATAATATTACATTTTAGAGTATAATATTATCAAAACATAGAAATTATCCTGGGTTATATACCTAGTGTGCTTTGTGGCAGAATTCCACTGATAATATGAAATTGTAATAAATTTGCTGGTAGGGAAGCTGATGGCAGAACAAAAGCTCCTAGTTCCTTTGTTTATTTTTGTTTGTGAGGTGTACTAGTGCATCTGACATGCAGTCATCCCCTGAGTAGTTGACGATGATCCATTGTGAACACCCTACTGGTCTAAGATTTTTTTTCCAATGTATGAAATGATGGATGTAGGTAGTAGGTTGGTAGACAGCAACCACCCAGGGAGGTACTACCGTCCTGCCAAGTGAGTGTAAAACGGAAACCTGTAATGGTTTTACATGATGGTAGGATTGCTGGTGTCCATTTTTCTGTCTCATAAACATGCAAGGTTTCAGGTACGTCTTGCTACTTCTACTTACACTTAGGTCACACTACACATACATGTACAAGCATATATATACACACCCCTCTTGTTTTCTTCTATTTTCTTTGTAGTTCTTATTCTTGTTTATTTCCTCTTATCTCCATGGGGAAGTGGAACAGAATTCTTCCTCCATAAGCCATGTGTGTTGTAAGAGGCGACTAAAATGCCGGGAGCAAGGGGCTAGTAACCTCTTCTCCTGCATATATTACTAAATGTAAAAGGAGAAACTTTCGTTTTTCCTTGTGGGCCACCCCGCCTCGGTGGGATACGGCCGGTGTGTTGAAAGAAAGAAATGATGGAAGAAGACAGAGTTGTCCCGAAGTAAAAAATATTGGCAGGTGGCAGATTTGTGGGTACAAAAAATGGTGCATATTAGTATGTTGAACACAATACCAACACAAGCGTGCTAGTACACCAGAAACAGTTAAAGGGTTAAACAAAACACAAGGTTAGTTTTATTTTACTCATCATGCACCACGTGGGGTAAGATTTTTTTTTATACTGTGCAGACTCTCTGCAGACCCATCCTCTCATGTCTAGGCCAAAATTTACTGTTCACACCTTATTTGAAGATAAGCTCAAAACATACATCTACCTAAGTGACCCTGGCATCAATACCATAAATGTAGATGAGACAGTGAACAGGTTAAGAGGCTTATGTGGGAACACTACAGTTGAGTATCAAGCTGTATCACTTCACATTCATAATGAGGAGCAAGCTACCATTCTATTCCTTTTTGGATATATCTGAACCCCATTTATCTATTTTCTGAACCTACCTTAAGTTGTCTTCCTCTGAAGAGTGACTCATCTAATGCCATTGCCATCTGAACCGAGTCTTTCTCTGCAAATTCTATATAAGCAAAGCCTTTTGGGTGTCCATCATATTTATTACAAAGTATAGTAACTCTGTTGACAGCACCACACCCATGGAAGTGTTGCTCAAGCTCTTCTGCTGTTGCTCCATAGTCAACCTGAAGGAATATAAACAGTATTTACTGCAAAGTCAATAATTAGTCAGTAAAACAATTATGATCAACATGCAAACAATTCAGAGAGAAGATTATTCGTCATAAATACAGCAACAGCTAAACTGGATGACAAAAAGCTGGCCTCTCGCACTTCTGTTTTCATCATTATTTATTGACAAATTGTTAAATAAGAAAAGAAACACATTTAATTAGACAAAATATTAAAAATTAATATCATTTATTCAAAACTAGTCAAAATCGAGGATTTGTTTTACTGTTCATCTGGTACCTTCATCAAGTACAGTACGAGTCGGATGCTTTTGGTAATTACCTGTTACTTATATCGTAACTACAGGAGCAGAGTTGCTCACAGTGTCCCATTGTCAGTACCATATTTAATCAATTAATTATTGAAGTTTTCATTGGTTGTGGTACTTACTACCTCCCTCACATGACCCATTCCATTTACATACCACTCAGTGGAGAATTTTCTAGTACCAGTTGCTCTCAGGAAGTGAGAATACCTATTCAGCATACATAGTAATGCAAATTCAAAAACTTTCTCAAAATCAAGTGGCACTACTACTTTTCATATCCTAGCTGATAGCACATGGGCAATTCCACAGAATAAGGAACATGAAGAAAATATATTTCATCAATGTCAGTAAAGTGGTACCCTGAATTTCGTCCACAATTCATTCCAGAAGGCTGTTTGAGTGCCATTACCGAATGAATTTGTTCCCCATAAGGAATAATGTAAATCAGATTAGTCCGTTTCAGACCCCCAAAAATACACTTACAAAAGCACTTACAAAAATACACTTACATAACTGTTTGAGTTGGGAGCTGTTCGAAATTCGAGGTACCACTATATATGGATGATATTTATTCACAGAAAGAATAAAGTTCCTATTGTAATAGTATCACATAAAATACAGTAATTTTTATCTCCCAAAGTCCCTACTTAGCTGGCTTTTTTTTTTTTTGTAATTTTAGAGTATTTCACTTAAAAAGGATGCTAAAAGGAAAAGGCCAAAAATCAGATATAAACAAAAGTGCAGTCAGTGTAGCATCATCACAAGCACTCTTGATCTGTTTGAAAGAGCAGAAAACTTTAAACCAGTGTGACGTTAATAAACCGGCGATCCAGTTTACACTAGAAGAGTCCAATGACAAGCTGCCTTTCCTCGACGTCCTCATTCACAAAGTAGAAAACAACCTAAGATTTCAAGTTTATCGGAAACCCACCAATAAAAATGATCTCACACACTTCTATTCCAGTCAAGATACCAAGACCAAAAGAGGCATCATCATCGGGTTTTTCCTAAGACCATACCGAATTTGTAGTCCTGAGTTTCTTGACGAGGAATGTACATACATTCACCAAACATTCACAGAGTTACATTTTCCTTCTTTTTTCATCAAAGACTGCAAGAAAAGAGCTCTTCAGATCATTAATTCTCCACGCATCAACACCACTCCCAACAAAGTTATACCTCTTCCCAACAGCCAGGTTGCACTGAACGTCTCAAAAGTACTTTCACAAGCTAACACCAGAGTCGCCATCGCTTCTAGCACTTCAATAAAGGATCTAACCAGGACAAAATCCAAGCATCACGAACAAGTCAATGCAGGAGTTTACATATAACCCTGTGGAGGCTGTGACAAGATTTACGTAGGTGAAACAGCAAGAAACCTCGACACCCGCCTCAATGAACACATTTACGCATGTAGGAACATAACTTGAACAACGCCTGTGTACAACACCGAAATTCCACCAATCATCTCATGAAATTCAGAGACGCCCAATTAGTGATCAAAGAAAACTAATTTCGCAGACGCAAGTGCTCGAAAACAGCATGATCGCGTTTTGAATACATTAAACAAAAAACAAAGCTTTACCATCCCGAAATTTAGCAAGAATTTCCCCTGAAAACGTAAAATCTGCCCTCACTAGTCTTCCCGTTTATACACAAAACACATTACAGAGAGTGAACACGAAAAAAAGCGCCTCTTACCACTCTGTATTTGTCCAAAAATATTTTTGTTTCCCAAGTAATGCTTTTTTATCTTTTACTTTTAGAATTAATTTCTCTCCTATTGTATTACTTTTGTCACTACTACTACTAAATTTCTATAACCAATTCAAATTACCCAAATATACTTCACTTAAAAATCTGACCCTATATTCCCCTCCCCTTTCCATATTTTGGGTTTTTGTTTTGGGTTGATAAAACTCCCGGAGAGCAAAAAAGTTGCCCAATAAAAAGTCAAATTGTTGCATTTGTTCTTTTATTTACTATTTGGAATTCTACCAACTTTATTACAAAAAAAAAAAAAAAAAAAAAAAAAAAAAAAAAAAAAATTTTTAAAAAAAAAGAAAATTTTTTTTCCAAAAAGGGAATGAAACCAAAAATATGAAAATTTTATGGGAAAAATGACGAAAAATTTGCTTCTGTGAATTTTGCTGTGTCAAAGGGTATTTATGCATCGGCAATTCTGCCCACTTTGAGTCCTATTTTTGGCCAAATTTCATGTTTTCCCGTCGCCAAAATTTTTCCCGGTATATCTTCATTTATCGACTGAGCACAAGAATCCTCCAAACAAATACAAACCCCTCCTCAATTAACGATGGGTTCTGTTCCTAAAGTCGTCGGGAAGTTTAATTAGTTGTTAAGGAGAAGCATACTACACGGGAGTGGGTTTGTGTCAATCATCTTTAGATATTTTTTTTAAAGTTACTTTTGCACCATTTAACATTTCTGTACATTGTTAAATGCCTTTTTAGAAGGTACAATCTCTCATTGTGACGTACTTGTTTTTTTCATGCCTTGGACTTAGCGGGTCTCTGACGTATGCAAACCCAAATAATGTTATTAGAGCGATTTCCCCCATTCCTTTTATTTCAATTTTCAGTAACTACTGTATAAACATTTTAAAAAAATACCAGAAATGTTATAAATGGGCAAAAGGGGACATTAAAAAAATATAGTGATGGCTGACACAAACTCAATACCATTTCATGACGCATGCTCCCCATGTGCAACGGAATTTATTTATGATGTGGTTTAGGAATGGAACTCCCCTCATAAACCCCTTAAACTGTCAAGCAGATCTTTTACATGGAGGTCCAAAAGTAGATCTACATTTTTTTACATATTTAAAAAAAAAAAAAAAAAAAAAAAATAGATAAATTTTTTTTTTCACGTTTTTAAATTAAAAAAAAAAAAAAAAAAAAAAAAAGATCATTTTTTACTACTTTCAAAAGTTGAAAAACTAGATCTAGTTTGGACAGTTAAAAGGGGTTAAATGAGAAAAGATTGTACTGTATACTGTAATAAAAAAGAAAAGGAAATCAGCTTAATAGTCATTATTTAGGTTTGCATACTGGTTAGAGAGCTGGTCGTAAGTCTAAGTGGTTGGTAAACAAATATGTCGCTATATGAGGAGAGGCTGTATTTCAACCACCCAATCAAGTGATTACAAATTAGTAATTTGGCTAACTTCACACAAATTTCAAAATAGGGGTCAGAATAAACAATGCAGGCATTCCTGGCACTAAAATAACATCTCCATTTATTAGCTATGTTCCCAGGATTTACACATGAATTCCATTTTGAATTTTTATTTAACCCCTTGACTGTCGCAACCCCCAATCCTGAGGTGTCTCCTGGTGTCGCAAAATTTAAAAAAAAAAATATTATTTTTTCTTATGAAATGATAGAGAATCTTTTCCCGATTGTAATGACACCAAAAAAACGAAATTTAATGGAAAACTGACGGAATTATGCTCTCGCGAAGTTAGCAACCTCAGCGATATTTACAAATCGGCGATTTCGCCCACTTTGAGCCCTATTTTCGGCTAATTCCGTTGTTCCAGTCGGCCAAACTCATAGCTATTTCTTTAGAACTCCATTTTTTCTATCGATTGAGTACAAGAAACTGCCCATTTACTGATTTCAACTACCCAATAATGTGGTCATAAATTTGCAATTTGGCCAATTTCACAAAAATTAAAAAATATGACAATTTCAAAATAAGGTCTAGAATGAACAATGCAGACATTCCTGGCTCTAAAATAACATTTTCTTTGTTCATCAGTCATGTCTCCAGGCCCCTCTGATATTACTCTTGCTTTCTATTTTGAACTTTTATTCACACAAAAAATAGAAGACTTACTATTATGCAGACTACTGCAATACTGTAATATTTGTATAAATAATATCAACCCATTCATGACTGCATATTAGAATTGCTAGTTGGACATTTATTGGACAATGACATCATTTGTTTACTTTTGAACATTGGCAAAAATCAAACATTTCCCCTACTTTGAGCTCCATTTCCAGGTTCTTTTTATAGTAAAATCAATCAAAATCACCTCTATTTCTATAATATGTTTTCCATTCTATCACATGAGACCAAGAAAACGAGAATACAACCATAAATACTATACGAAAATAGACCACAAAGTCGGCATTTTAATTAAAAAAAAAAAAAAAAAACGGTTGGAGTTTTTTTTTCTCATTATGCACTGCGTGCTCCAGGATTTTTTTTATATGGTGCACACTGACCACACAGACCCATTCGCTCACATGTGGGCCTACCAGCTTCCTCCTGCTTGATTTGAAGCCGCTAGAATTTATGAGTATATATACGTCAAACACGGTACCTCGTAAGACGTATATATACGGCCGCGACAGTCAAAGGGTTAAAAAAAAAAATAGTTATGCAGTATTGTAATAATTGTATAAATAACATCAGTGCATTCGTGAATGCACATTAGACCAACCAGTTGGATGGGTGAAATGATCTGTTTACTCTTGAATATCAGCAAAAATCAAACATTTCTGCTACTTTGAGCTCAATTTCAAGCTATTTTCAGTTCTGAAACCAATCAAAATCATCTCTATTTCTGTAATATATCTTCCACTGTGAAATGAGACCAAGAAACTGAGAAAACAACCATATAAACCAAAGTCGCTGTTTTAAACCAAAACCAT